GGACCTGGTAAATTCACTGAGATAAAACTGTGTATAGACCAACGATATCCGCCTATATTACAAACCTAACCCCAGGGAAGAAATTCACTATTATGATTTTTCCAGCCTGTACCCTTTCGTAAGCAAAACCCAAGAATACCCTATCGGACACCCCAATATACTTTATGACAAATTTGGACCCCTTGCAAATTATTTTGGAATTGCAAAAGTTAAAATGTACCCCCCACGAGGCTTCTTTTCCCCATTGTTACCTGTGAGAGTGGGTAACAAGCTTATGTTCCCGCTATGACAAACCTGTGCTGAAACCGAGCAGCGGGAGACGTGCATCCATACTGATGAGGAGAGGGCCATCCTGGGGACTTGGTGCACGGTGGAATTGAATGCGGCCATAGCGAAGGGGTACACAGTGGCTAAAATATATGAAATCTGGCATTTTAATGAAAAATCTGATGAACTGTTTTCAGAGTACATAAAATTACACCTCCACCAGAAACAAGAGGCTTCAGGGTATCCCAGCTGGTGCACAGACAAAGAAAAACAAAATCAGTACATTAACGATTTCTACCAGAAAGAAGGCGTGCATTTACGCCAACACGAGATCAGGTTTAACCCCGGTAAACGCCAAATCACTAAACTGTTTTTAAATTCTCTGTGGGGTAAATTCGGCCAAAGAACAAACCTACCCAATAGCAGCATCGTGAGAGACCTTGACGAACTCTTTCAGTACCTGTTTCCCCCCCCCACTACGAGGTTTCATCCTGTGAGTTTATCGACGATGAAACAGTGTGCGTGTCTTGGAAGCATGCAAAAGACTAGTACTCAGTCTCTGGAAATACCAATGTTTTCATAGCCTGTTTCACCACTGGTTACGCCCGCTTAGAACTATACAACCTGCTAGACAGGTTGCAAGAGCGGTGCCTGTACCACAACACTGACTCGGTGAGATCTGTGAAAAGGGAGGGTGACTGGAATCCCCTCTGGGGGATTATTTAGGGGACCTCACGAGCAAGATCCCGCCAGATCAACACATCACCCAGTTTGTGTTGGCAGGCCCGAAAACATACGGGTATAAGCTGTAGAGAGGAAAGGCCTGTATGAAAGTCAAAGGTATTACCCTAAACGTAGCAAACTGTGAAAAGATCAACTTCGACAGTCTGAAAGATCTAGTCCTGGACTATTGCACGGGCCTGTGAGAAAACACCTCAAAAAAGATAGAGGTGCAGCAGCCCTCTTATCGTAAGAAACAAAAATCAATGGCAAATAGAGACAAAAACCCTTAATGAAACACAAAGTCATTTACAACAAGAGGGTCCTAGGAGAAGGGTTTAAAACCTTGCCCTACGGCTTTTAAAATAGATATGAGGTGGAAACACCTCTTTTCTGCAATTCTCGTGGGGCCTAGCAACTGTGGGAAAAGTTACTTTATAAAAAATGTGTTGGATAATGCCAAACAAACATTGTCTGTTATGCCTGAGAATATTGGATAACATGGCTATCAAAATCATTGCAAGATACGCATGTCTGGGCTTGTTGAAACGTGTTTTGAGCAAGGCTAGGCATGCCCAAGAATTTAAATTTAGTTTTTACAAAATTCATCACCATCCGGTCGTTTTGCACTAAAGTCATTAGAACAGAATTTTAAAATCCAGTCAAAAGATAAACCCTTGCTACGATGATGTAAGAAAAAACACGCAGTGATAGCTGCAGGCGACAGAGCAGGGGTCTTGTAATTGTCTATTGTGAAACACAATGTCTGTGGCATTTTTGTTTAAAAATTGCATAATGCTTTTAGGAAACAACACGCTGTTTGGGGGGTGCCTGTATGAGTCAAAAAACTCTCCACGGTTACGCTCCGCCAGATACAAGGCGAGCCAGTGTTCACCAAGTTGGTTGTGTGGATGCGTGTTGACCACCAAAGCTAGGGGTCTCTGAGACAGCTTGCTGCCAGGGAGCCAATCACAAGGGAACACATCTAAGAAATTCTTTTTCGTGTAATGGGCCATTGATAAGACATGTGAGAGCTGCACGGTGTCCATGTTCACATATAGTCAAACAGAACGTTTCTCCTCTGATTTATCTCTATGACGTTATCAAAAACCCCATACACGATCATATTGAGGGTGACGGTTAAAGCCTTCCCAAAACGTATTTCTGTTCTCAGGTTCCCGGTTTTAATCAGGGAATAGTGATCGGCGCATTGCTGGTCGGGAGATGGGTCAAAGGCAAACAAGGTGTAACCCTGTGCAAACTCCTCACAGTCGATTAACAGAGAACGATCTTTCATGTGTTTACCAGCTGTCTGTACCACATTCATGTATTCTCTCACGCAGCGTCCTGCCTCGAAGTCTGGTTGCAGAGGCTTGGTTGGTATCTGTTCACCATCTACATACAAGGCCAAAAAATTAATATCATAATGTTGAAAATGAAAGGGATTTTCTGTGTAACTTCTGCTAAAGGCATCATTATCCACAAACCCCAGGATAAGCATTTTGGGTAACTGTCCCAAAAACAGGTTCTCTGGGTTACTGACCCTGCTGCTCGCGGGGATGCTAAACACTTTCATTCTCACACAGTCCATGGGATATTTAGCATTAGCGTTAAGCAGGGCCTCCGTGTGCCCCAGATGAACACTCGGGGCCACCCGTACTTTCTTCACAAAAAGGGATACTGACACAATGCCATTAAACAGAAGGCGTCTTTACTGCATGTCAGTTTAATTTTCACATCCACTCCGTTCAATAAAAGTTTTTCTTGAAAAAACAGGTCGCTGTGTAGATGATCCAGCAGCTCTACCGTCCTGCTCTGGGCAGTCAGCTTTGCACTCCTCACAAACCCTAGATTCCCGCCATCCAACTCTGTTTCTTCGTCTTGTCTGGCAGTGTCTTTGTAAAACAGGCCAGTGGAAAATTGCGTGGTAAAGGTGTCGTCGCTGTAATTGAGCGCCGATTCTATAAAGGCCCTGTAAGGGTAACAGTTGTTGCTTTGGCTTACAAGGCGGTCTCCCAGCGTGACATCCAACTGACTGAAAACAGAGGCCACGGGGTAATTCACCAGGCCCGCTTCGGCGTCCATGGAGAGTTCAGTTCCGTCTTCTTTTACAATCTTGCAACATAGATACAGCAGCGTGTTGTTTAAATCCATATAATCGATGCCATTCCCTGCTATAAAAACATCAATGGGGGCAGACTCCGTAACAGCCGATAGAGGCGGCACCTCAATGTAGATGCTTTTCTCAATGCTGGTCTGGGTAGGGGCTATTTGAAACAAGTCTAGTTCGGATTTGGTGCACTCTTCAGACCCGCAGTGAACAAAAGCCATGTTGATTAAAATATCTCTCTTTTACCAGGCGGAGAGCATCTTCTCTTTCGCCCAGGCTTCCTCTTGGACTTTCGCTTATGGCTGGCCCTGCGCATCAAAGCCCTTCTTTTAAAGTGTATTGGGGGACCAGTGCGTTGCAGGTATGATACATTTCTCTTTCTCTTCCTCCTTTTAATGTACATCAGCCCCGATCCTTCCTGTGAAGCTGTATTCGAGTCGGTTTGTGTAAAGTGTAAGCATCCTGGTCTGAAAGCCAAGCTGTTACCTGTCTTCTAGTTAAAGTTTTACTATGCTTTTTGGCCACTTGAAAAAGAGGATTCATCGCGCCAAAGCTCCCAACTTCCCTGGGGGTATAATATATTTTCTTTAACAGAGTCATCTGTGGAGACATGACTGTTCCCGCTACAGTCTTTTACTAACACAAGTATGGAGGAACACACATTCATATGGACACATTTAAATAAGTTTTATTCATTGCCTGGTTTAACACAACCTTTTACAGCCGCCTGTAAAAATGGATGCCATGACCCCTACAATGAGGGAGTCTGATCTGGTTCATTCTTCTATTTTGTCCTTTTCTGGATTTTCCTCTTGAGATCTGTGTCTCAGACAGGAGCAAAAACAGCTGATGCATGATATATTTACTCCCACAGGGCTACCGATGTGTAAATTCTCAAAGGCCTCTAGAAAGACATCGTCGATCTGTTGAGAGATTTTCAGACAAAAAACAGTGTAAGCACCCCACTGCTTGTTTTTAGATTTATGCAATGCCAGGTCGATTCCTAACCCCATTACACCCCCATGATCAACCGTCGCTTCTTAATCATTCATTTACCTGAGCGACGTCTTTCCCGTTCACCTTGTCCACTGGTGACTCCCCCAAGCCATGATCCTCTTCCAACTTTAGGGGGGTGGACAATGAGAGGCCGTCACACTCATTGGTTTGGGTTTCGGGGTCGGGTTCCAAGGTATCTATCAACGGTGGAGTCAAAGGGCCCTCCTTGGAACTGTCACTGCTGTAGCACTTTCTCCATACAAGTCCAAAGGTCCTCGGGGCTAAAACAAAGTCTGAAGTTCTCACGGGGGTGGTAGAGGAGTCCATGTTTCCTCTCAGCCTTTCCACAATTTCTAAAACATGTCTTCTTGGTAAGAGATTGCCTCCTCTGCCCGGTACTGGGACTTATGGGGTGATGGTTCTGCACTCTGATTGGCAGAGGGCGTTGGGAGGAGTCCTTAGAGGGGTCACATGACCCTCTTCTGGGCGGTTCACCCCATCCAAGAACCTGGCCTATTTTGGCCAAATCTCCTCTTGGGGCGGTCCTCTGCAGCCAAAACCCATCGCAATTGGTAAAGAGTGGTGGGAGGAGTTCTTAGAGGGGTCACACGAAACACTTCTGGATGGGTCACCCCACCCCAGAATTCCCCCCAGTTGGTCAAATCTCTTGGGGTGGTCCCCAGTGGCTGAAACCCCTCCTGATTGGTAGAGGGCAGTGGGAGGAGTTCTTAGAGGGGCCACATGACACATCTTGCTTCTGGTTATGTGTCCGCCTTGACCCCGGAAGTAATACTCCATGGGTGTGGGACTTCTGGTGACTGGTGGGCAAGGGGTGGGGTTAACGTTTGATTGACAGTAGGGCCCTTATAGTACTGGAGCGCCTTCTTCTGTTTGTCTCCGTTCCGCTTCAGTCCCCAATCTCTTGCCCAGAACAGATGTCACTTATGATCTCAGTTGTCACCAGCTGGACAGTGGGACTTGGGTCTTTCTGTAGGACCTGGAGAGCTGAAATTACAGAGGACAATACGTTAGTGAACAGACTGTCAAATCACAGCTAAGTGTGATCACAGAACCTTGAACTACCTGAGCAGAATGATCACATGGAAAAATGTGAGACTGGGCTCAGTCCTTCTATTGGGATGGAAAATACATGAGAGATGAATATGCCTCACTTTTCATATAGTCACCCCTGCCTGAAATAGCTGGAGACTTATTACCTCTGAATACCGCACTACAGCAGCTCTCCAATACAAACAAAGCTTTAGGTTCCTCTACTGGGTCCCTTCCATGCTCTCAACTAGGGGGAGACCCTGACTCTACCAGAAAGTCATCCACTCTGCTGTAAATGGAAGAAGGCCCATTGTTTCAATAGCTTCCACTTTTAAGTTTATTTTCCATCTCTATTCAGGAGACACTGCCTGAGCTCAAATAAACCTGGAATTTAACAGAAGCCAGGTCCAAGCTGGTTTATGCATGATACAGGGCACCTACTGGAAGAAAAATTGCTGGTGGGAAATTTGAGGTAGCAGAAAGTGGCTACAACTTCTTCTCACCTGGGGAGTCCACAGAGAGCCAATAAAGCCCAAAGAGTGGATAGCACTGGCTGTGGAGGGGGCATTGCCAGGACAACCAGGAGATGTACTGACTCATATCACACCTTCTGCAGCTTCCTCCTTCAGGGAAAATTAAAGCGGACTTTCTACTGGGCAAGAGTGAATTTGTCCTTTGCTGTGTGGCTGATGCACTTTGCACCAGTGGTAACGGTTACAGCTGCTTGTCAGCTAAATTCCTTTAGAACTCACTAATGAACAGGACTTCAGCTGTATTTATTACTTACACATCAGCAGATGTTCCAGGTCCAGCCATTTCATACGCTGCCTGTCTGTGTGTTCCAGGATGATGCCTAAATACACAATGTAAAATAAACAACAACAATAATAATAAAACCTTCCCTTGTTGAGTGCAAAGTGATATTAGCAGCCCCTAGACACGTCTTTGGCATCTCCTACTGTGGGCCTAAGGGTGAGCTGTGGGCAAGAGGATGCTAGAGCAGTTTAGAGTCCACACTGAAGAGAATGAGAGAGACATTTTTTAAAAAGAATGTTTCCATAAAACCCATTTGCTTGAAACAGTCTGTGTTCCTCTTGCCACTGCTGTCAGTTATTGGAGACATACTAAGATAGTGTCTTGGTCTAGTGGTCTGTGCAAAGGACTGGGGCCAGGAATAAGTGAGTTCTAAGCAGGGATCTCACAAGGTGACTGATAGGTGAGACGTAGGCCACAATGCCTGCCTGTCTCACATGGGTGTGCTAGGGTGAAGAGGGTACAGGGCCAAAGAGGAGGAACCTAATGCTCCCTTGACAAGGTGGTGTGGCCAGGAACCTGAAACAACAGGTGCTATGGGGAGGTGGGCTGCATGCCTCCCAATGATGAAGTAGCAGTGAGGAGCACTGAACAACACTGTGGGTAGGTCTGCACTTTGATCTAGGGGTATCACTCCCAGTTCAATGGGACATGCCCACACTGGCTCTGACAGCGATAGCATGCTAACATTAGAATGTAGCTAAGGCAGCACGAGCAGTGGGAGGAACTAGCCACCTTGAGAATAGACTTTGGGGTTTGGATGGGATCATACTTGGGGTGGTTAAACCTCCTGCTGCTCCTGCCATCGCAACTACTCTCTATTTTTAGCATGCAGGACTAGTGCGGGTACATCTCATCAAACTGGGAATTATACACCCAGCTCAAAGTGTAACCATGCCCTACGTGACAATGTCCCTGCCTCTACTACTAAATGACTGCACCGTGCTTTCCCTGCAATGATCCCGAAGCACTGATAGCAACTAATCCACCACACTGGAGAGGTAGGGATATTAACATCTCCATCTATGGATGGGAAGCTAAGGCACAGAGAGATTAATGGCAGCTCAGCGCTGCACAGTGGGATTGTTTCTGTCTCCCTCAATGGAAATACCAAAAGGGACACTGGGCATCATCTCTCACCAGCTAAGTTGGCTGCAACTGCCCGGATCTCTTCCCAGCTGCTATAGAAGTACGTGATGGTGATTTGGTACAATTTCTCCAGCAGCTCTGCATTCTCTTTGGCCTAGAGGGAATCAGGGACACATGAGCTCTCTCTGGCTAGAAGTGCCCTTTGACTGCCAGCACATGCTTTTACGAACCACAGGTAAATAAGATAGAGAACAGGTGGCTGGGTAGAAGTGGGAACAATGGGAATCTGTGGCAGATTTACATTTCCCATCACCCTCAGTCATATATCCTACTCTTACAGTTATTTACATTATCCATCACACATCCCCCCCCCCCCACCTCTACACCACCACTCCAGTCAATAATCTCAGACAGTTCAACAGCTTACTCACAAGGTATCTGCAAATGTCCACGTGGAGCTGTTCAGGCTTCAGCTTGGCTGTGCCACCAAGGTGCTCATTAATTGCACTTTGGAGTCTCTTCAGTCCCAAAAATGGGAAACAGAGTTGAAACGTAGCTCTGCATTCCTGAAAAAGAGTGTCACACCATTGAATTGTTCCCTACCGAGTGCTATGTTCATTCAAAGGGAACTCATCTGCGTGACTGCTCATCTGTTCCAGGATCAAAAAAAGGGATTCATCTGGATGTAATTGGCAGAAAACATGCAGGAATGACTAATAGACGGGAGGGCTTCAACTGAATCCTGGAGATAGCATCAATGTCTTTTGGGAACAGATATACCGATGAAAGCTGCTACACCAGGCATAGGTGTGGTCTCTCTGTTCTGGGGAGGCAGGGGCCTGGGGTGCAGAGACAGACAGGAACAGAGACCTGTCGGTGTCAGACCCGTGACCTCTCCTGGATTCTGGTGAGGCAGCCATGGACCAACCTGGCTGGAACTGACTCAGCAGGAGGGCAATGAACTGAGGGGAGAATTTGGGCCTCCACAGCAGGCAGGAATAGCAGAGCTCCCCTGACATTGGGAGGAAGATTCCTTTTGCTTAGTAAATAAGTCACTGTCGGTCTTACCATTGAAATCTCAGGGTTTGGGTCTTGCAGATGCAGCAGAAGTGTGACCCAGCTCTTTTTAACCTGGTCGGCGAAATAGGTCTTCCATTTTCTCTTTGTCAGCCGGGCCAGGATGCCAAATAGGACAAAGGCCATTGAGCGAAGAGCATCATCCTCCTACAGCCAAGAAAGCCCCGCAAGTTAGTAACTAAGAGACAATCACATCATGCACTTTGTACAGCCATCTCTTCTACGCTAAAGTAGAGTGATTCCAACTACAGCTAGTGGGAAAAACGGTAATTAACCAATTTTTTGTTCAAATTTGCTGATTCATCAAATATCTTAGAGACAGTTCAGTTTTGATGAAATTCCTCCGGAAGCCAGGTAGGGGTCCTTAGAAACTTGCCTGGTGTCTTTCCAGTGCACCCATCCAGCTCTGTAGCAGCCAATCTAGCAGGCTGATTGGGATCGTGGGCTTCCAGGCCCCCAGCTTCTGGGACCCTGGGAGTCCTGGCTCTCAAATTTGCAACTCCCTGGCACCTCTAGCTCCCAGAGTTTCCTGGGTTCCCAGCACCGGGATAGTCTGAGAGCAGACTGCCCTGGGCCAACGCTTCCAATAGAGCTAGGTTGAGAATAGTAATTCTGTTTCACAAGGAGTTTTGAACTTTGGGGAGAGGGGTTCCCACAAATAGGAACAAACCCCAAATTTGAAATCTCTAAATTCTGTGCAAAACAGAATGATCATTCCAACCCTCTCACATAAAAATGGTATAGAACAGGCCCAACACTCTCTATTGTACTGTGTAACCCCCATTTCATGGTTATCTAGCTACCTAATCTAGTATTCAGACTTTCTTTGAGGTTCTCAGTGGCAATAAAGAAGAATAGAAGGGTGAGACTGTGGGAGCAGGGATGTCATCCCCATCCTCCTAATGTTCTCCTCCTCCGTAAAACACCTCTCTTCCCTGGGGCCTAAAATCTCTTCACTCCAACATGAGCAATGCCCAGGGAGTCCACATCACGCATTGTAAATGGAGTCTAATCAAGATCGGTTGAACTGGGGTTGGAGAGATCTGTTCACATACATCGTCAAAGTAAGTCCGGATCTGTTGGGTGAGGTCTTTGAAGGAGGAACCTATGTCCTTCTCTTTCAGCGCCTTCAGGACTTTGGCCAGTGCTTTCATGCTCTCGCCAATGACTTCCGAACTCAAAATGTCATGTAAGGCCCCGATCAGTATGTCCAGAAGAAACTTCTTGTACTTTTTCACCTGTACAAACATATGACATTAAAGAACACTTATCACTGATCACACTTCTAATAAGTTTTCTTTAGCAGTTATGAAGCTGTGGGAATTTCATCAACCCCGTCTCCCCCCCAGAGACCTATAGCTATATTTCAGACCAGGTGCTAGCTACAATGAGCCCAACTTGGTGCCATAATACACCTGTGTAATCCTATTATTAGATTCCTAGTTACTTAGATTCCAAGGCCAAAAGGGACCATTGTGATTATCTGGTCTGACCTCCTGCATAACATACAACTTCCCCGAAATAGTCTCTGTTTGAACTAGAGTGTATCTTTTAGAAAAACATCCAATCTTGATTTTAAAATTGCTAGTGACAGAGAATCCCCCACCACCTTTGGTAAATTGTTCCAATGGTTAATTAAAATTACCATTAAAAATGTATGCCTTATTTCCAGTCTGAATTAGCCTAGCTTCATTTTTCCCCATTGAATCTTGTTATACCTTTGTTTGCTAATGTGAAGAACCCATTATCAAAATTTATTCCCCATGTGAGTAGTTATAGACTGTCCTCAAGTCACTCCTTAACCTTCCCTTTGTAAAGCTAAATAGATTGAGCTCCTTGAGTCTATCACTAAAGGTATATTTTCCAATCCTTTGATAATTCTTGCGACTCTTCTCTGAATCCTCTCTAATTTATCAGCATCCTTCTTGAATTGTGGATACCTGATCTGGACACAGTATTCCAGCAGTGCTCACATGAGTGCCATATTCAGAGGGAAAATAACTTCTTTACTCTTCTTCAAGATTCCTCTGTTTATACCTCCAAGGATCATTTCAACTCTTTTGGCCACAACTTCATATTGGGAGCTTATGTTCAACTGATTATCTGCCATGACTCAAGTTTTTTTCAGCATCATTGCTTCCTGGGATAGAGTCTCTCATCCTGTAAGTATGGCCTGCATTTTTTGTTCCCAGATGTATACATTTACATATGGTCATATTAAAGTGCACATGGTTGACTTATGCCCAGCTTACCAAAGGATCCAGCTTGCTCTATATTTACTGCAAAGAGGTTACTAGGGTATATGAGAGAGCAGAATTTGGCCTAGTGCATTTTGTGCAGCCTCTGTAAACTCTGAACAACTCTCTCTCTTGGTTTCTCTAGTTATGCTGCATTCTATTCAGTAATCTCTCTTACCTTCTCAGGTGCCCCATAGACTAAATTTCCCAGGCCTCTCACAGCCATCTGGCGGACAATGCTGTTCCTATCGTGTGACCTTTCTTCCAAGATGCTCAGGACAGACTTAAGGAACTTCTTCTCCCTTAGCATGGGATCACTCATTAGCTGAAATAAAATCAACATGTCCATTAGCCCCAATATGATCATTAAGATTGGCAATATAATTTGAGCAGACATGGAATACACTAAAAACAACAAGGAGTCCTCCTACAGCCACAGTCTTGTGGATACAGACTAATATGGCTACCCCTCTGATACTTGGCACATAAGACACTGTAACTTTATTATTCCACACAAATGAGAAATGTCTTAAAACATGGAGCTTTCCTTTTGGGCACTATCATAGGGATCCACTCACCTCTTGAGAGCCTCTTAGTGGCTGGGTCTGGTACCACACTCCTTTTCTCACCCCTAGCGCACCCTGCCAGCCGACCTCAGTGAGTCTTCTGTGTCTCAGGCCTCTGGCTGCGTCCCAAAGTCCAAATGAACCCCTTCTGGGGTAGTCAAGAACAATCCCATTGCCCTCACTAGGGTCTCCAACCCCAACTCTGGGTTCTTGAAATTCTGCTCTTTGTTCAAGCTCTCCATAAGCATTGTCCCCTCCGTGGGGCTTATGCCACTGTAGATGGTAGGGGAACCAGGGCCTGCCCATAACTCTGGGTTCCAAACCATGGACCCTGGAAACAGTAGCTAGGCACTGCCTGATTTCAGTTCATTTTTGCTTCTTCCTACCGGCCACTTTTAGCTTCATCCTCACCTCCGGGTTAAAGTTCTTAGGGACCCTCTTCCTGCAAATCCAGCTTAAGCAAATGCTGCCAGAATCAAACTCTGGCTATCCCCTGAATTTCTGTGGCCAGAGAGCAGCACCCTTTCTTGCCCCTCCAGGTCCTGCCAGGAACTGACCCGCTAAGGCCCTGCAGCTCCTTTTAGCTGAGCCTGATGGGCTCTGATTGGCTGCTTTCATGAGTCCTCTCTAGTCAGACCCAGATTTGTGGCTGTTTTCCTGGGGCAGGGTGTAGTAGGACCACGGGGCCTCTTGTAAGGAGCCTCAAAGCCCAGGTACAGCCCATCACAGGCACAGATCGATTGTTTTTCTTAGAACCAGATGAGCCCCTAAGATAGTTGCTTAGCATAAGTGGGAAATATGATGCCGATGTTAGAGGAAGGTTGTGGAAAGGGCGGATGGTCCAGCTGTTATCACACTAGCCCAGGACTTAGGAGACCCAGGTTCAATTTCCTGCTCCCTCAAAGACCTTGGGCAAGTCACTTAGCCCTTCTGTGGATCAGCTCCCTGCCTGTAAAATAGGAATCATTGTGCTTCCCTACCTCCCAGGAGTGTCGTGGGGATACAGACATTAAAGAGTTTTGAGGTACTCAGATACTACAGTAATGAGAACCTAAGATAGATGTGAATGTATTTGTATGTTGCTTGTTTTATAGTATTAGGACACTAGGTTCATTCAGAAGATCTGCTGAGCTAAACCAAAATCAGGAGCTGTTGGTTAGTATCAGCACTAGGACTTGGCAGAAGAGGTCCAGGAATTCAAACTCTGTCTGTATCTCTCTCAGCCAGCACCAGTGGTTGTGTAGCTAGCATAGGCAATGACAGCAATAAAAATATCAGAGAGAGAATGACTCAGAAAGATGTAATGAAATTCCTTGTGAGGTTTCCATATAAAGGAGGACCCATTCTACTATCTAAAATGACAATTACTCCTATGAACTGAACTGTCCAACTCCCGAAAGAAAGGCAAACATGAGACAACAGTCTAATGGTGAAACTGCTCTTCAGAACCCTCTGTCTTACCTGGGCAAGGAAAGCTGTGCTGGTGACTCGGAGGTTTTCTGTTGGGGAATTCACCCAGGGGAGGAGGCTCTGTAAGATCTCAGGTGTTATTAGTCCAGATCTTAGCAGAACACTGGAAGACAAAATAAACCGCTTATGGGGTAGATTGCACACTTCAAAAACTCAGCTGCTCTGAGCATACAGCACTGATATCTATGAATGGGAGCTGTGTGTTTCCACCCAGGGCACCCCCCACAAAGCTATAAACTGGAGGTTCCCTCTCAGCCACTCTATTTGCTACTGATTCCCAAGGATAAAATCATGCCTCCTAGATCTCTTACCTCACCAGCAGACACACTCCCTCATGGTGAGTCTTGGGGTTTTCAAGCAGACTCTGTGTTCTCTGCTCCCTGAGCGCTCTCACCAGTCTCTCATTCCCAGCTTTGAAAAGCACAGCCTCTAATGCTTGGCTAGAAAGCCTGGGGAAAGAGAGGCACAGAACTGCAGCAATCAGTAGGAAGGTGCAGCCTGAACAGAGCGAGGAAGCCCTGGTTACTTGTCAGGTCTGCTGTTCATCGACAGTTCATCCACTGGCAATATCCTGGACACCAGTGTCCCTGGAAGGACTTGATGCCGGGAGGTAAGTTTCAGTCTCATACATCTCATATGACTAGTTTTGCTAGGGACAAAATTTTGCAGTCATTTTTCCCTTTCTGCAAGGAGTCTGGGCACTAGCAGAGTACAATGATATGGAAAAGATACATGATCAGGACCCAAACACTGGGGGCATAGAGTGTGGTGATCACTAATGGACATTTATGATATGACAGAGAGCTGAGGGTTTGCACTTGAATCAGCACTCTGGTCACTATTAGTACTAATTTGGTTCCTCACAGAAGGCCTAATTGGACAGAGGTGTACCTGATTACGAGGTCAGATTGGGGCTAGTGAGTCAAGGAACCAATCATTCCATTAACAGGGAAACTGTGTAAAAGGACATGGGCAGGAGCTCTTTGAGGGGAACAGACAGAGAAAGAAACTTGGGTGACCAGATGTCCCGATATTTGGGGCTTTATCTTATACGGGTACCTGTTACCCTCCACCCCCTGTCCTGATTTTTCACACTTGCTGTCTGGTCACGCTAGGAGAAACAGAAAGACAAAAAGCTAGGAGAGCCTGACAAAGTGAGGTCTCTGAGTGGAAACACCTTAGCCCCCACTTTTGGAGAAGAGTTTAGAAAGTTGAGATACAATACAAAGGTGCTATGTATTGGTAGGGGGATTAAATAGACTATATGTTGGTGCTTACAAGCAAGAAAGTCTCAACGCGGTCTGTGTTTGTGGAAGATGTGGGGGTGCAACACCCCTCTCTGTCACAGCTGGGGGCTCATCAGGGATTTCCCTGTTATCTATGCAAATGGAGAGCCTGTTGGAGAAGCCGGTGTAGAGGTTTTGGCAGTCCGGGTGATGGAGGGAACACTGAAATGGGTGGTGAAGCAGCAAAGAGAAGTGTAGAACAGGGGTTCTCAACCTTTCTGTTTCTGAGCCTCCCCCCACCCTCAACATTCTACAAATACTCCATGGCCCAGTTCCAGGCCTCTGCCCTGCCAGGCATCAGAGTTTGGGGCTCCTGGCTCTGGTTTTTAACCTCATGGCGTGCAGAGGCTCGGGGCTTTAGTGCAGGTGCTGGGCCTCAGGGCTCCAGCGTGGCTGGGCTCAGAGCTTCAGCTTTCTGCCCTAAGCCCCAGCTAGTCTAATGCCAGCCCTGCTTAGCGGACTCCCTAAAACCGGCCTGGTTGAGAACTGCTGGTGTAGAAGACCCTACAGACCTTCCAACAATCCCACCATGCAGAAAAACAGCCTTTGCTTGCCTGGTAGGTTTAACAGCAAAGGAGCCTTCAGGAATTTATACAGGAGCAAGCCCAGGTCTGGCAACAACTCCTCCAAAGTTTGGCCAGTCCTGTGACAGGAAATGGAAACCAGGCACAGGAGATCAGACTCTGTAAAATGGGACCTGCGAACAACCCTGATGTGTTTTTGGTTACTCTTAAAGGAGCAGCAGTGAGACCTCATAGGGACAGAACAATGTGGGGCCTTCAACTGACACCCTATTTAACCGGGGAAGCACATATATGGGTCTTAGTGATTAGTGGGCAAGAGATTATGACATGATTAAGGCAGCCATGCTGGACTAGGTGGGGCCTGTCCACAGAAAAGTACTGCCAGAAATGGGGAGTTGAAAGATGGATTGAGGGATTATGCCTCTGTGCATTTGGACAGAAATTAAAAGATTGGGCCACTCATTGGTAAGGCCAGATACTCAAACTGCGGGGGAGATCATGGACTGCATGATTCTGGAAGTTTCTTCAGAGTCTCCCTGAGCATACCCGAGCATGGGTTACGTGGCGCCAGCCAGTTAATCTGGACCCCACAGTTAAAGTTACAGAGGAATTTGCAGAGGCGGACATTCCCAGAGTGAGTCAGTGGTTTAAGGGACTAGATTTGAGAAGGACCAGAGTGCCTCCAGCTGGGAAGGGCAGCAAGAAGAAGAGGGAGGCGCCTCAAGGAACTGTAGTGGGAGCTTATCCTACAGTGTGCTACCGACATAGACGTGAAGGACATCTAAAAAGAGACTGTCCTAAAATGGACTGTGGGTTTGCACAGTTTTGTGGCTGGGATAAGACTCCCAGGCAGGGAAGAAAAAAGAAAGTACCTACCATATCGGTATGGGTAGGGAGGAGCCACCAAAGGGACTAATGGACACAGCTTCATCCTGTTTGTTAATCGGGCAGGAGTTAGTGAAACCCCACTGGATACTTCCCAGAGGTAGGATCAAAACTGAATATGTACATGGGGACAATAAATTCTGCCCAATGGCAGAGGTGACTCTGGAAATCAAGGCGAAGTTTAGGCAGAAACATGTAGGGGTAGTGGATGGATTGCCCCACTGCCTTCTACTGGGCATGGACTGGCATCCCTTTCTAACAGGGACACCAAGGCATGTATGGAGGCTCAGGAGGGTGGAAACAAAACCTGAAGGGCCAGGTAAAGAGGAAATATATGTAAAGGGGCTGGAGGAACCTAGACACGAAAGTACAAGCCACAGAGAAGGTGAGGATGCAGAAGTCCCCTGAGAGACAAGAGGGAGGAGAAAGAAAACAAAGGTCAAGAGTAAAGGTGACTTAAGATCATCCATTGGGGTCAAACAGTCATCAGAGCCCTTACCACCAGGATCTCAGGAGCGGGCATCCCGAGAACACTTTGGAGGGACTCAGCGCAGTCTGTGTTCATGGAAGAGGCCGGGGCACAGCATACCACCCCTCACATATAGGTACCTAAAATAGGCCTGCACATGGGCCAACAGCAGGAGCAGAACACTTGTGTCTGCAGCGCCAGCAATCACCTAGCTAGGTACCCATCCATGTGAACAAATTCAAGTTTTGTGGACAAAGCTTAGGCACCCATGTTTGAAAACCTGACTCACTGTGGCCACTACATAAGACCAGCCTTACTGGGTCAGTCCAATGGTCCATCTAGTCCAGTATACTGCCTTCCAACAGTGGTCAATGCCAGCTTCTTCGGAAGGAATGAACAGAACAGGGCAATCATGAAGTGATCCAATCCCTGTTGTCCAGTCTCAGTTTCTGGCGGTCAGGCCTAGGGACACCCAGAGCTTGGGGTTGTATCCCTGACCATCTTGCCTAATAGCCATTGATGGACCTGTCCTCCATGAACTTATCTAATTCTTTTTTAACCCAGTTATACTTTTGGCCTTCACAACATCCCTTGGCAATGAGTTCCACAGGTTGACCGTGTGTTGTGTGAAGTAGTACTTATGTTTATTTTATAGCCACTGCCCATCCGTGAACAGAGTTTAGATCCTGGTTTCCTAGGAAAATTCAGAGACATTATAAAACCCTGAAGTCTGTAATTTGAGCACCTTGTTGGCACAGAATAAAGAAACACAACAATAATAGAAACTAATAATGTTGTGAGATTGGTGGGAAATGTACATTAATGGGCTATCAGAGCTGAAGTCAACTGATGACTCAGGAATCTCTTAGTGTTAACTGGCGAGGGGCACAGAGTGGGTGCCGAGTGGTCTGGTATGTACATTCTAGTTCACTAAAAGATTGCCATATGAGTCTCAAATAAAAGCCCATGTCACCAATATCATTGTGAAACACATGTACAGATGCGGTGTAAAGAGTCATGTATATGCACTGAAAATTACATTCTTATGATCCGTGTCTAGGGACTAGTCACCAGGAAAGGTGAAAAAATGGTTTTCTTTCAGGGAAGAAATGTTTATCCATCTGTTTCTTGATCTGTAAATTAAGCATGTAGGGTTCACATTCAGTTCAGAAGGACTGTGAGACCTTCAAAGAAAGAAAAGTAACAGGAAGTAGACAGGGGGTGGGGACCCAATTTTGGGGTACACATCAAAGGTGTGCTCTAGTATATTTGGGGAACAAAGAAGACACCCTGGCATCTTTCACTTAGGAAGTAGATGGACAGTGATATGGACAGCGGGGTTGCTATCAGGCGTGGTTGAGAACTTTGGGTGAGAAACATCTTTAGACAGGAGGTTAAGCTGTTGGTTAAGTTTAGTCTCTAAGAGCATGTTATGATTTCATTTTACATGTAACCATTTTTTGCTCGCATTCTTACTCACTATCACTGGAATCTCTGTTCTTTGATCATCTCTGTTCTTGTTTGCACTATAAATATATCTAAGTGCTGTGTGTTTTGCCGTATAGTATAAGTAATAAAGTATAGAGTCTAAAGTATAAGTAATAAACTGGTGTGTACTGTTCCATTGGGAACAGCAGGCCTGGTAATTCTGTGGGTGTTCAGTGGATAAAGGTCTGGACACTATATGGAACGGTGAGAAGACTCGGGGGTTGGTGTGTGCCTATCACTAACTTGTACAAAGAGTCTGAGGAGGCCTGGATGGCAGTGTTTGTTTTGCCAGAGCCTGGTCATTTCAGGGAACTGACCCACATCAGGCACAGACAAGACTTCCTCACTCTAAGGGCAGGCAATGGTAAGGTGCCTCGTAACCCTGGGAACTCCTGGGGAGTGTCACACAACTCTATTGGAATTCTCTTTGTTTCTCTCCCTTCCTTCTAATTACCGGCAAGGGTCGCCCTCAGTATGTTGTATGTCTTCTCGGAATAGCATCCCGCTGCTTATCCTGGGCAAAGGCATCTCTTGTCCTAGGGTTCGGCTGACCTGCTGCAGGAGAACAGGAAACAACTCTGGGAGCAGCTCCTGCACAGCTTTGCTCGACTGCAGTGCTGACACCACCTCAGAGATGGCACATGTTGCCTGAAAGGAGAGAATGGTAAAAAATGAGAGCTCTTCCCAACACCATCACAGCCTCTCTCCCCTTCTGAGATCTGCTGTACGAAATTCTCACTTCTGCCAGTAACTTGAATGACTGCGAGCAACTCGCTTAACTCGTGGCTCAGTTTCCCACATCTGTACAAATGTGGATGACCTACCAAGGCATGTTGTGAGTCCTAAGGAATATTTGCAAAGCACTGTGAGAAACCTGGTTCAAAGACTTGCTAATTGCCAGATGTTATTAAGTAAATCAGCCACGTACTCTAAAACTGCCGTATTTGTTCCACAGACAGTAGAGCTGGACTCAGGGAAACAGTACATCAGAGGAGAAGTGCCCACACAGCAATATTATACCACACTTCTAGCTTTGCATCAGCAGGATTGTCACAGGGCAGAGGAAAGCCTGAAAGACATGTCTGTCTTTACTTACTGAGAGAGGTTCAGCAGCTGCCAAATCCCTGTCGATTTCAGTCTCTGAGGTGATGCAGCCTTCTTGTCTTGTTGGAGTCTTTATCTTGTCTATCAGGATCTTTAGGACTTGAGTGGCAAGCAAGGGGTCTCCCCCCAGAGATCTCCACAGCTCAGCGATGTCACTGCAATTTAACAGAAGTTACATGTGACCCCTGGACACTTTTGTGGCTCAGACTGAATACGTCATATTTAAGTAAAGACCAAATTTTCTCCTTGCCAATGATGAGAAAGTTAGGAGTACTGTCCTCCTTTAACGCTCCTCGTGTTTAAATATTGAGTTTCCAGTTACAGAACTAGGTTAAGTGACCTAGTCTTACTGCAGCCTCACCATTAATACTAGCCTTCAGAAGGACAGGACACAGAGCGCCAACCTTAGTTCCTGCTTTCCCATTTTCCAGTAAATATGGAATCATGAACATGTGGCTACAAAGATCTAGGGTTTGGAAGGCAAGTTGATGAAGGAAAAGCCATATTCCTACTAACTGGTGTGATATAGCACGGCCAGAGGACAGCAGGAGAGTGATAGATGGGAGATATGTAAGCCCCAGGATGATGAGAGCCTTAGTCCCTGTAGAGGGAAGAGAGGCTGCTACAGATTAATTAGAGCACCTGAAACCAATTAAGCCAATTAGAGCACCTAAAGCCAGTCACCTGATAAACCCCCCCTGCTTCAATCAGACAGTTGGAGGAGTTGAAGCAGAGTGGTTTGGTGTTGGAGCAGAGAGCAGT